TATTCTCTGTGCCTCATTTTTCCTAGCTTGGATGCAAAAGGCGAACTACTCCCTAATTGTAAGTTTATTTCTTTTAGTTGCTTGCTCCCATGGAACATCCTCATTGTATGCTACTGAAGGTGTTAATTCTGAAATACGAACATTATTCGAACATTTATTGTGATGCTTGATGTTAGGCCTATAACCATCTTCACCACACGGGAATAGTAATGGATATTTAAATCCCAAATATGGCGTATGATATTCATCTATTCTCTAAATTTGACACATTGTTTTTGCATTATAATGTCTCTTTTTTTGCGGTATCAACATCACTGATAATTAGCGCAGCTACTTCAGAAACATTTAGTTGATTATATATTCTTCCATCAGTACGTCACTCAGAAATGAGACGGAGTTTTAGGTCAAAAAAATTGCCTTCAGAAAGTATATCCCTCGCCATTTTAAAACACTGAGCATGCACGTTATGTTCATATAAAAGCGAAGATACTTTTTGCACTATATTAGTATTAACTCCGTTTTTTGTTCTGAAATGTAACAAAATATAAGTCAAATGATATATGCTGCGAAACATATTAATAAACTAATAATAAATTTAGTAAAATAAAGGAACAAACCTGACTCCATCAACCCTATTTTGAATTTCATGTTCTATATCAAATATATAGAGTTGTGCAAATCGTGGATTTTGACTTGGCAATGGTAATATGCTTCGTATACGATGACATGATTGACCTTGAATTCGATAATTAGGAGGACCTCTATCATTGTTAAATATGTTGTCCATCTTAGCACCAGGAGAAGTAAATGTGAACATTATGTTGTATACATGAATTTATTGTTGAAATAGTTTTGATTCACTATTGGTTTAGTAAAACAATAGTTTTTGCAGTTCTGGTGGTGGTGGTCTCAACAAAGGAAGTTGAACATTTCCTTCTCCACAATACATTGAGAACTTAGGATTAGTTGAATGTCGACACTTGTTCTTCCTCTCTAAATACCACTATTGTAACCGGTTTTAAAATGAGAGTCGCCATCCTTAATTTTTATCTTTAGAAAGGGAATATAAAGGATAACCCTAAATTGGTCAGAGATTCTAAGTTGTTGGACTCGTTTTTAGACGAAGAGAAGGTGTTAGGCACCCCTCATCTACCTTGTTCACAAGAATACTAGGATTTAGAAATACGGCTTAGGAATATGGTTTTAATTGTTATTAGGGGAACTTGCCACAATTTTAGTTGTATGCCTACGTATCCTCTTAGGAGGAATCAGAGTCTCAATTCATAGTTCGTAGGTGTTTGGTTAATTTTTTTTATGGATTGTGGAAATATTTTGAATTAATTCTTGAACCAAGTATGGGTTGAAAATATCAGAATCGTGACGCAGTTCACAGTTAATATAAAATAGATTCACAATCCTTTTTGAAAATATCTTGAATTTGAATTAAGTTAGTAAAAAAAGGTTAGCATTTGTTTGGTTAGCTATTTTAGAATATGTTATGCAATACGTAAAAAATAAATTTGAATGAGAAAAAGATTTGATTTAATGAAATTAGAAAAATAGGGTTAGTGTTTTAAAAATAGTTTGATTAATAAATAACTATTATAAAATTTATTAAAAAATATGTTAAATATTTTTAATAAAAAAATTTAATAATTATGTAAAAATTATTTAATGCAAAAATGCATAAAAAATATGATATAAAAATAAGAAAATAAGATCAATTAAAACAATAAAATATAATTAAAAAAATTAATTAATTAATTAAAGGAGGGGTGTAAAAGTTAAATCTGAAATGTATTTTATTATTCAAAAGAAACTAAAGTCATTTTTTAAATTTTTGTATTTTTCTATTGTTTTTTTGTATTTTTAATAATGAATAAAAGTTAAGATAAAGAAAGTTTCTTTTTTTTTAATACTAATAATAAGAAGAAAAGTTAAAGTTTGAAAAAGGATTTTTCTATTATAATAATAATAATAATAATAATAATAATAATAATAATAATAATAATAATAATAATAATAATAATAAAGCTTAAGGTTAAAAAAATGTCTTTTTAAGGTTAATGAAAAGGTTTTTTATAAAAAAATGTGAAAATAATAATAATAATAATAATAATAATAATAATAATAATAATAATAATAATAATAATAATAATAATAATATTAATTATAATAATAATAATAATAATAATAATAATAATAATAATAATAATAATAATAATAATAATAATAATAATAATAATAATAATAATAATAATAATAATAATAATAATAATAAATGAATATCATAAACCATAAACAAAACAAATAGCAATCAAACAATCAAACCAAAACTCAAACAAGAATAAATTTTATACTACATCAAATACAATATTCATGCACATGCTTAAACATATAAAAAAATATCAACCTGAAATGTCGTGGTCAAATTAAGTTGCTTCTTCCATCCTTCTTTTCCTTTTCTTTGTATTTTTTATCATTTTTCCTTTGGTACAAGATTCCCCTTTTTTCCTTCGGTACAAGATTCCTCTTTTTTCAGATTGATGATGGAATGGAGAGCTTAGAGTTTAGTTGTTGTTGTTCTTCGATGTGAAGAACAACTTTTAGAAGAACTCTAGTGAGTTGTTGATCTGAAAATGATTATTGATTCTCCAAATGGTTGTTGATCCTCTAAATGATTGTTGATGGAAAAAATTTAGGTGTTATGTTCAAAACCCTAAAATTAATCAAGAGAGTTGCATAGAAAGAATGTTTGTGAAAGAGAGATAGAAAATTATTGATGTAGTTGTTGATGAAAAATTAAATAGTGAAAAATAGTGAAAAATCTGACCAAAGAGAAATAAGTTTTGTCAACATGTGACCAATCAAATAGTGAAAAATCATGTGATTTTGTTGTTTTTATATTTTATATAATTTTTTGATTATTTTTTAATTAAAAATTGAAAAAAAAAAACTATTTTTGAAAATTTATTAACTAAAAAATACGAAAATAACAATTTAATATTAAAAAAGTAATTTTTTTTGGGAATATTTATACCAATTGAAATTTGATTGAAACTTGGAGGACAAGATTATGAATCTAGACACTTTTTGATTTATCTCAATATTGTGATTGATTTGGTGATTAATAAAAATTAATTTTGAAAGATTTCAATCATTTTTAACAACTTTACTATTAAGTGTATAAAATCAAAGATTTAAAAAAATTTAAAAAATTAAAATACCTTTAAAATAAAAAACAAAAATAATAATAAAATAATTGAAAATGACTTTTTTATCCTTTTTATTGAAAAAACACACAAAAGAAAATAAATACCAAAATTAGTGTAACGAGACTTGAACTTAGGACCTTCCACTTACTTGCAAGCCTTACTCCCTTATCAATTGTGCTATGTCATTCTATTCGGGATAAAAAGGCATATAGAAGCATATGAAGGTGGAAAAATATTTTGCTATTTTAAAAATACAAATAATTTAAAGTAAATTATTATATATTTTAAATAAACAAAATAAATTACTATTAAACAAATGTTATTAATACCCAAAAAAATTATGAAATCAAGTTTAAAAATAATTTGAATATTTTAAAAATGGATCGGACAAATTTGGGGTACGACAGTTGCCCCTATTTAATTACTCTTTGATTGAAGCGTGTGAGTATATGAAGTTTCACACATTCGGATCGGAGGGTTATTAAATAATAGA